CGCTGCCACCGCCGGGGCGCCGGGGGTTGCGAGTAGCGGCCGCGGGTATGCTCGGGGGGCGGGGCGGCGGCGCTCCCACCGTTGGGGGGCCGGGGGTTTGGGAACGGCCCCGCGCGCTGCCACCGTCGGGGCGCCGGGGGTTGCGAGTAGCGGCCGCGGGTATGCTCGGGGCAACTGTTGGCGGGGCGGGAGGGGACTCCCATGAAAGTGGGAGGGAAGGCCTCTCCTGGGTGGCCCACGGGGCTAAAGTGGCCATAAAAGCGGTACAGCAGTGCTTCTGGATGTCGCAGGAGCCGTAGGCGGCTTCGTGCGTTTTCGAACCGTATTTTGGAATCGGCTGAAGAAAAGTTTAAAAAAATGCTCGTGACAGTCCCAATGACAATATTCTTAAATCTCTGTCTCACTTAATGTTCCCTGCCTGCCCGCTGCTGAAATAGTCTCATTGCTTTCAAAAGAGCATATATTTTCACCTTTGCATATGCCCACTCAGCCCACACGGCATGTTTTCAAACCTATTACTAGAAGTGATATAACCAGCCCTGTTATTCTCCTACAAGGACTTACCCCACCTTTTACTTTTATAGAGGCTTCAGTGTGACTTGTGAAAATGTAGTCCTGGCTTCAAGGCAAAAATTCCCTTTGACTTCAGCAGGGACAGACACGACTTCGCCTGCGTGTGTTCATGCAAAACAGTGCATTCAGTTTACTAGCTTGAAATTTACCTCTCTCTCTCTCTCAGTCCTAAGGGCTATTTCTAGTGTTTATTAGGGTGAGACACGAGCAGCAATTGAAGGTTCTTGAGAAAATTAAGAACCACAGAGCGACAGACTTTTTAAATTAGGATCTTGGAAAGCTTTAGAAAGGTGGGAGATATATGTCTTTACAATTTTAGTAATAACCATTGTCCAGTGTTTAATTTTGCTCTACAATAATAACAAAAAAAAACCCCATTAAAAAAACTGGTGATGCTTTTAGCAAACCATACAAGGAAGAAACTTGAAAAATAAGACTGGGTTATTTTTGTTTGAAATACAGAAGAGGCAAGGTAAATGTATTTTGTGGGCTGAATAATTATTTATTTGTCAAGCAGTGAAAAATACTAGGAACTTCACAGATCCAGACTGACAGAGGTTCCCAACCCACAGAGTTCAAAGGGAAAGAACTGAGCTAGAACTGAGCTTGGTAAAAATGCTGTAATATTCGGATTAAAATGATTGGGTGTTGGATCACCTTTGAAAAAATCTAAGCTTTCTTTCTTCCTTTATTTTTCCTTTTCTCCATTATACACTTTCTCTTACCATCTGATTTTTTTTTATTACTTTCACTTCTAAAACTGTACTCTTCCCAAAATATCTGCTTTTGGGGGTCAAGCAGAAGATGTTCTCAATAGTCTCAAGTGGCTAAACAGATAAAGGATATCCGAGTTTGGCTGGGAAAGAGCTTGATCTCTCCTTTAAACTCTGGATAGCTCCAGCCACCTTTTTTTGGAGGTGAGAACACCACTGGAAAGGCAGAGTGTTTTCCAGTTCTAGGGGACTGTATTATTTTTTCTCCGGTGTTTGTTCACTTTGTGTTTACTTCCCTGTGAAAAAGCCCAGCTGCTTTAAACAGTTTATTGTCTGTTTCATTTGCAGAGAAAAGTGAAAAACAATCCATCCAGTTGCCATTCCCGGTACTATTTATATTATACTTTTGTCTGGCTCCTATTAAAAATCGACTGAAATATTATACGTAATACAATTAATTGTATATTTAAGCCGTAAGTACATTAGTTGCAGTAGAAGGGACAATTCTGAGCCAAGTTCATCCTGTAATTATACCAATTGCAACTTCCCTGCTTTCAGTGGAGTTACTTCTGATTAACTCTAGTGCAAAAGAAACTTTAGACCTTGCAACTTTAATGAAAGTTTTGCTTGATAATAAAATGGGGGATCTGCTTTCTGTTATGTTTCTGAGTTAGTACCATTTATCTTCTCTTACCTGGCACGTATATATCCATTGTGCATCATTAAAAGGAGACCTTTCTAATTTAATAGTATAAAGAGCCCTGTGAAAGCCCAGGTACGTGTGCGTAGAGAAGTGACAGCTGTTCCATTTCAGATCATTGTAGTGCTCACAATACAGCACTTTAAAAATTAATAAATATGATGATGTAATTTTTGTCAGCATTGCCACTGATGATGGAAGTGTTTAATCAACCGTCAGGTAAAAAAAAAAGCACCACCATGAAACTTTGTCAGGCTGGCAGATGGAGTTGGAGAAAAAGGGGTGACAGCACAGTCCATTGAAGAAAGTGTCTACATTGATGCTACCCATTTGGTAAGAAAAGGCCTTATATTAGGTCAGAGGAACACCTCTAGATTAATTTAAAGTTTTCTTGCTTGTTTTTTAAATTAACAACCTTGTTTAAAAAGAGGTAAAGATACTTCCATATCATCAGTTAGCTAGTTTACTAATTGGGAAATTTGTTTTATTATCATCCAACCGTCTGTATTTTCTCAGAGCCTGATCAAATACCAGTTGGAATTCTACCATCGAGTACAAATTGGGTTGCCTGCTTCTATCGTCAGCTACTACTGACATTAATGGGACTTCAGTACGATCAACACTACATTTAAATCCTGTCATGTCTTATAATGTGCTTTACACAGGCAGTTCCCTGTGCCCGTACACAGACTGACTGGTTTAGGAAATATTTGTAAATGACTTGCAGTGTCGTTTTCAGAGATAGTGTAAGATTCCAATTACACATTTCTTTTTCTAAAGAGAAAAAATATTAAAAAATGAAATCAAATAATAGGCTGGGGCTTTTCCATGATCCAGGTGATTATTACTGTTGTTGAGTCTGACTTTCAAAACTTGCTCATGTTAACAGCCTTCCTTAATTCAATAAGCATACTTAGATACAAGGTTTGGAATTAATATTATGTATTGAGGACTGTATAATAATCACTTCATTTAATACTAAACAATACCTATATAACATCTCACAGTAATTTGATTTATGAAGTTCAGCAGTGACTGAACAAACTTTTTGGAGCTTCACAGCATCAGAGAATTTGACAAACAGTTTGTGCAAAGGTTTAGGTGAATGTTATATGACTGATTCAAAAGTTGCACAATTTCATTCATGGCATTAAAAGCTTTATTTATTACATTGCAAAGTCATGTGATGAAAGTGAGTTTAGAATTATAACAGTTTGTAAAATATATGATCTGATCTGTAAGAGTTAGCACTACAGAGGATTTGAGAACAGGGAAGGAATTAGATACTTTCTTTGCATGTCAGAGCCAGTCTGAAACTCTTTCTCCTGGAAGGAATCCAGTTGTCTTGTAAATTGAACTCCTAGTCAGTTTAAGTTTTAAAATAAGGCCTTGGGTTTTCCCCTATGTTAATTTTGGGAAGCATTTCTGACTCCTTATTCTTACGTGAATAATGCACTATGTCTTGAGCACACGTGTTGGAAGAATCCGATCATACTGGCAAGGAAATTTGGAACCTAAATGTCCATTGAGGGTCCTTTTAACATAGCACAGATGTAGCTTTTGCAGTCATATATGAAGACTATTAAGCATATTGTAAGTATGCAGGCAGAGAGGCCATTAAACCTTTATCTGCAGTTCTTATAAGTTGTTTAAAATTTTAAGTTTTTTTCCTACTTAAAGCTATGGATTTTTTTATGTTATCCCTTCTTCTCACAGGTCTTCTATGATGTTTAGCTGCAATTACTGATCATTTCAATTTTGCTCCATCTTTTAGAGCAGTATTTAAATAATAAAATTTTTAAATCACAAGTAATGTTTGGTTATTGTTACACCTTTAGCTGTGCAAAAGTTGGGAGAAAATTCAATAGCATCCCAAGTCCTTCTAGCTAGTGAAAAAAAAACTTACTCTTTAGAATAGTAAGCATGCATCAGAAAGTGGTGAAAAATATGTTCTGCCATTTGCCAGTGTCAGCTGAATAAAGTTTCTGTACATCTTATGTTAAATTTGGAATTTAAAAGGTAGCTTTAGAAGATAGAAGAAAAAATGGCTTACCAGATGGATGTTTTAATAAAGTGGGGAGCAAAGAGAGGAGAAATATTACATTGAGTCATGCTAAGACATGGGGTTTTGTAAGTTGGAGAAAGTGCCATAAAAGATGTTCAGAAATTATTTTTTTAATACAGTTCAAGTCTTTAAAAAGAAAAAATTTAATCACATTATTGGAACTAAAATCAAGGAAAACGAGACAAATTGAGTGCTCTCTGTTCTGGACTCTCCTGTTACCTCTTTCAAGTTTTGGCCAAGTGTAATGCACCTAATGCACACACAACCCTTTACAGTAAATTTTAAACATCCTTGAACACCTAGGTACAGGCGTGGATGTTGTCTTTTTCAGGCCCTCTGGGTGAGCTCTGAGCATTCATTGTCTCCTGCTGTGCCAGGACGGCATTACAAAGTTACTGCTCGTGGGTGCAAACCTTTGAGCCTGGGAGGGCCCTTGTGGGATGGGCTGTTGGCGTAGAAGGTCATGGGCAGGCAGGAGCCACATTTCATTACACAGGGTAGCTGTTTGTTATCATCAATATTAACAGCGTGTCTCTTTCAATTTTAAAGAGCAATTAAAGCATTAAAACCCTACGTCCTGGGAGGTTCAGTTCTGCAAATGGGAAGCACTTAGGCACTGTTTTATTCAGCAGCACTTGAGCAGCAGCACCAACAGCAGCCGTGTTCATTTTGGTGCTGACTCTTAACAAGGACAGAGGTTGCTCTTTAGAGAGCAGAGAGCACGAAACTTGGCAAGCAGAATAAACAATAATTTTTAAAAATTCCATGTAATACAGAAAAAATGAGTTAAAACAATTTTTGCTGTGCATTAAACATGACTAGGAAGTACCATGGGGAATGCAGGAGATAATTGCAACAGTAAAGAACTAAACTGCTCTAATGTGCTTTCCACAAAAGGACGCTTCAGCCCATCATG